CCCCTAATCATTTTGGTTGCCCTCCGCTGGACCCTCTCCAATGCTTCCGCATCCTTTTTGTAGTGGGGGGCCCAGAACTGGACACAATACTCCAGATGTGGCCTCACCAAAGCCGAATAAAGGGGAATAATGACATCTCTGCATCTGCTGGCAATGCTCCTCTTAATGCAATCTAATATGCCATTAGCCTTCTTGGCTACAAGGGCACACTGTTGACTCATATCCAGCTTCTCATCCACTGTCATCCCCAGGTCCTTTTCTGCAGAACTACTACTTAACTGGTTGGTCCCCAGCTTGTAACTATGCTTGGGATTCTTCCGTCTCAAGTGCAGGACTCTGCACTTCTACTTGTTGAACCTCATCAGATTTCTTGTGGCCCAATCTTCCAATTTGTCTGTCATTCTGTATCCTATCTCTGCCCTTAAGCGTATCTATCTCTCCCCCCAGCTTAGTGTCATCCGCAAACTTGCTGAGGGTGTAATCCATCCCCTCATCCAGATCATTAATAAAGATATTGAACAAAACCGGTCCTAGAACCGAACTTTGGGGCACTCCGCTAGAAACCGACTGCCATCCTGACATTGAGCCATTGATCACTACCCACTGGGCCCGGCGTTCTAGCCATCTTTCTATCCATCTTACCGTCCATTTATCCAATCCACATTCTCTTAACTTGCTGGCAAGAATATTGTGGGAGACCGTATCAAAAGCCTTGCTAAAGTCAAGGTATATCACATCCACTGACTTTCCCATGTCCACCGAGCCAGTTACCTCATCATAGAAGCTAATCAGATTGGTCAGGCACGACTTGCCCTTTGTGAATCCATGCTGACTATTCCTAATCACTTTCCTCTCATCCAAGTGCCTCAATATGGATTCCTTAAGGATCCCTTCCATGATTTTTCCAGGAACCGAGGTAAGACTGACCGGCCTATAGTTCCCTGGATCATCCTTCTTCCCTTTTTTTGAAGGACTTTTGCCCGAACGGGAGCAGCACAGTATTTCCGCAAGAAGCACTGATTTCAGACAGTAGGAAATCAGTGTTCTTGCGGAAATTCAAGTGGCCAGTGTAGACAGCTGGCAATTTTTTCCGGAAAAGCAGCTGCTTTTGTGGAAAAACTTGCCAGTCTAGACACAGCCCTAGGGTTAAACAACTTCCAGTTAAAATGTTTCATCACTTATGTTAAGGGGAAGTCTAATTTGTGTAATACTGATGCTTTTATGGTCGAATCATCTACATTTGATCATGTTATGATTGCAGTAAAAATGCCCAGGGGTTTATAGTGTGAGATAAAGATACTGACCTGGCCTTGAACCAATCAGAAAACTGGAGAGAAGCCTTAAGGAAGGTCTGTTTTTGTTCTCTTTAGTCCCTTTGGCAGCTTGTCATCTCTTGCTGCCCTTGTGAAAGTAGAGCAAAGGGGCACTTTATATACAGCCCAGGAACATATTAAATGTTAACAGGTAGGGCTGATCAGAGATAATGGGAAATAGCCGGTCAAATGACCTCCTCCCACATAAGACTGACATCATCCTTATGAAGGAGTGAGTAATACTAATTGTTTTTGTATCTCAAAAGTGGGGGAGGGGGTAAAAATAATATTTCCTCTGGTTCAAAGGTAAGTTTCCTTCAGCTTTTCACATTCAAGTTTGTGATTTTAAAAAGTCACTATATTTTAATTTTCTTCTTCAAATAAAGATTTTTTGTGACTTTGTAGAGCATGACATTTACAAAGGACCAGACAGAAAAAGAAATAGAGGAGATTCACACCGATTATCGTAAGTAATACAACTTATGCATTTTTATGATTTTTAAAATCTCCTAGGTTATGTCTATACTACGAAGAAAATCGGGAAAAAAGCTGCAGTCTAGACATAGCCCTAATCTTTGTTGTAGGCATGCATATAAATATCAAAAATACCCTCTCTGTGATCTGTTAAAAAAGACAGTAATATTTCTCTGTCCTCATAGGAGTGAAGCGAGGGCTCAGTGTGGGTACGTCTAGACTACATGCCTCCGTCGACGGAGGCATGTAGTCTAGACGTACCCAGAGAGTGGAGGCTATTTAGCTTAGCTAGACAAAGCATGATCATCCTCCCTCACATAAGATAATTGAAACATCCAGGGCAGATTTTGTACCAGACCCAGGCTTAAAACCAAGCTGATAGGATTCAAAGATTCCTAAAGTTGAAGGATTCTGTTGCAGGTGCCTCACTACTACATTCTCGATAACCTACTTCAAAAAGGGAAGATTCAGTATGCAGTAATTAGGCATTTGGCCCCTAGCAGCAGTTGAACTATTAAGGAAGTGTCTGAAAATCCTTTTTCTCTTTTTTTTTGATAACCTGGCACCTTAAATCAGGGTTAATGAAGGAAGGGTAGGGTGGGGCCTTTTTTTAATTGAATGTGGATCTTGGAGAGTGCTTAACTTTTTTCGGTAGATTTTTCTTTCGTTTGTGCAAAAAAGTTTGTTTTCTATTATATCTTTTTATTGTCAATCTTTTTGTTTGTCTTGTGGTGATCCAGAGAGAGAGGTTTAGTGACTGATGTCATGTGGGTATTTTTTTTAAACTTTGTAATTGCATTTGTAATTGTATTATCAGAACACCCATAAGTCTTAAAAACCTGCTCATGTGTAGTTTCAGAGACTGCACAGCAGTGTTGTATATTATATAGTAGATGTGGCTTGTTTTCCAGAACATCACTCATTTGATTTAAATGCTGTGTAGCTGCACCATAAACTAAAACACTGATGGAGGTGGAAAAATTCAAAGAATCAGGAAAATTCTTAACCCATGTATATTGGTTTAATTCAGGCATTTTACATGCTAATTTTTTATTTTCTGCCATCCACAGCAAAAGGAAGGGTGTTAAATGTACAAGATATAGAATATACCATTTTGAATTCTTTTTGTCCTTCTGTAAGGAAGAATGCAGATAGGAAAAGGAAGGTCAAGTTAATATCACAGAGCTTGAATTCATAGTTAAATAAGTTTATTGGATAGTTGACTAGTTGCTTACATCCCTAATGTGAAGGAGGTATCCTAAAATAGTAATGTTGAAAGTGTTGGCCAAAGTAGTAAGATGGATGGAGCTTGTTGTGTAGATGAGAGGAGGCACTTCCAAGTACATATGTCTCTAGATGGAAAAAAATGTACACATCCATTATTTACTTGTTGAAATGAATGTCTTTGCCATAGCATCTCTGGTTTCTATGAACAAATAACACTGTGCTGATAATTCTTCAGCAGAATAAAATACATAGAGAGAGCTTCTGATGGGAGAAATGGTATGAAGAGGAAGAGCAATAAGTGGGAATGGGAAGGGAGACTGAGCATTTGGCAGTGAGGTAAAGGAGTGGAAGTTGAAGGGAGCTGGGGCCAAAAACAGAATTAAAATAAAATTAATGGAGATTGCCTATCTCCTAGAACTGGAAGGGACTTTGAAAGGTCATTGAGTCTAGTTCCCTGCCTTCACAGCAGGACCAAGTACCATCCATGACAAATTTTTGCCCCAAATCCCTAAATGGACCTCCGCAAGGATTGAACTCACAACCCTGGGTTGAGCAGGCTAACGCTCAAACCACTGAGCTATCCCTCCCCATTTCCGATATCTTACAGCAGTGTTTCCCAATTTTATTTGGCCACGGAACCCTTTAAAAAACCTGGGGGAAACTGGTTGACCAAAAAAAAAAAGCCAGCCCGCCCCTAAGACCATGCTGGCCAGCGGTCCCTTGAAAATGGCGTCCCCGGGTAACCACCCGGCTCGCCTGCTCCTAAGACTGGTTGGGGGGGTAGAGTGATCGGGTTCTCATAGAACCCTTACCTTCACTTTGCGAAACCCCGGGGTTCCACGGAGCACTATTTGGGAAACACTGTCTTACAGGGTATGTGGAGAGAGAGGTGAGGAGGTGGGGTGGGGAGATGAGGGAAAGTGCTATTATTCTTTTTCACAGTGTTCACTCAATGTACGTTAGAGAAATAGAGAGGTGGAGGCTGAATTTCCAGGAAAAAAAATCAGGGCTTGGAAGCATGCTTCTGTGTCAGCTGTATCAAGAGATTGATTTCACAATTGCAGGATTCACAGTACCTTGGTTTTAATACCAGAAATTAACTTTCTTAAATACTGATGTTATAGGACTGAATATGAAATGTATGTTAGATTCTCAGTCTACTAACATGGACCTGTTTGAATACATAAGTCCAAACTGCTTGTTAGCACAGTAAGTTTTGTGGTGGACATAGGTCCACAGGCAAGTCAATAGAACTAAGGTGATTTACACCAACTGAGGAATTGATCTATTTATTTCTTTGGAGGGTCTGCTTCCTTACTCCCCTCCATGATGGGTGCATCCAGGGCAGCATATGGATGAGTTTTACAAAGAAGCAGCATTAAATGCTATTCTGTTCTAGCATAAAGCATCAATATTATTCTGGATATAGGAGGAATTGTTTGCATGAACCACTGTTCAGTAGCTGTATAATTTAACGTATGTCTGTACAGAAGCGTCATATATTATGATTCTGAGTAATGGTTCGCTTACAGATCATACACTTGTGATACCAACAGACTTCTGCTGCAATAAGTAGTGACAGAAGAGAAACATTATTTTTTCTCAAAATCCCTTCTGGCAAATGAAGCACTGGAAAATATTTCTGTTTCTTTGATTTTTGGGATAATCATCAAGTCATTTAACTTGTACACTCGTTCATGCTCTATTTTGTGGGTGCTTTGGCTGTCTTGAAATCTCTATGGATGGGCTCATTGGGTATATCTAGAGTACACGCTTCTTTCGAAAGAGAGCATCTAGATAGGCACAACTTTTTTCGAAAAAGCGATCTGCTTTTTCGAAAGAGCGCACCCAGGCAATCTAGGTGCTTTCTTTCTAAAAAGCCCTGTTTGTGTTCAAGAACGCCTTTTTTCAAAAAAGCTCTTTTGAAGAAAGGTGTTCTTCCTTGTAAAATGAGGTTTACCTCTGTCAAAAAAACCTCCGCGTTCTTTCGATTTAATTTTGAAAGAATGTGGTGGCAGTGTAGACACAGGTAAAGTTTTTCGAAAAAAGGCTACTTTAAAAAAAAAAGTGTAATCTAGACATAGCCTTTAGGTATATTATGTGGCGCCCTGGAGAATGCAGAGATTTTTTTTTCATGCTAGTAAAAGCAGATCTTCATCGTTGTATGGACATTTCACAAATACATTGCATCTTTTTATTTAGTTAAAAGAAAGAAAGAAAACTGACTGCATCTTCCACCCAGTCATATAGTTCATATATAAATTTTTCTGAAAGGCTGAACAAAATTCTATTTTTCTAGCCAACTCTAGATTTTGGGGCTTTTCAGTGGAAAAAAATTGTAGCTTAACTTTGCCTTTAGATTGCTATACAATTAATCCAAAGCTAACTACAACACATTTTCATGGCTTTTCTTGCTTCATCGTACTGGTAATTACAGTCAAATAACACCTCTTTTGTAAATGTCATTTTTAGAATAAGCAGCACGTTCTCCCCGTATAGATAGTGTTTAATCTACATAATCTTCTGTCTGAGCAAACTTCTCATTTTGCCAGACTTTTAGAAAGAGACTTTTGAGAGTCCAAATATGAAGCATTGCTTTGAGTGAATACCATAAGCTGATCAGAAACATACTAAATCATCGAAAATGCTGTGAATGCTAAAGGGTAACATTGGGCTGTGATTAGGAATGTTCTGAATCACTGAGGTATCATAAATAAAAGACACAGATGTGTATTAAAATTTCCTTTATAGAAAAATTTGTCACCATCTTGGAACAGAAACACTTTTTTCCTTCAAACATGAAATAACAGATGTAGTTGTACAATTAAACTCTGTAGCAATATTTATTAAAATGTGGTGCTATTTGACAAAAGGTCTGTTGTCTAAAAAATCCATTTGGAAAAGTTACTCAAAAAACAGTGTGTCTGGATTTTCAATTACAACTGAATGTCACGTTAGAATGAAGATTCATGGAACCCTAGGGCTGGGAGAGACCTCAGGAGGTCATCGAGTCCAGCCCCCTGCCCAAAGCAGGACCAATCTCACTAAATAAACCCAGCCAGGGCTTTGTCAAGCTGAGACTTAAAAACCTCTAGGGATGGCGATTCCACCACCTCCCTAGGTAACCCATTCCAGTACTTGACCACCCTCCTAGTGAAATAGTTTTTCCTAATATCCAAGCTAGACCTCCCCCACAAGATTACCATTCTATGTATAGTATTTTTTAACATTGCTTTATAGAATGTATCTGTAGGCTGTTAACCTTGCTTTTCCCTAACACAATATATAGATATCAGTTTCACTGTCCTTTTCCAGACATATTAAGCTATAGGGAAGGCAAGGAAAATTATGCAACGTCTGAACTTTCCTTATTAAATCTGTTTCCATTGCATCTAGAAACTGAAATGGAAGGCTGGGAGGTTGACAAGAATGGCATCCAGATAAGTGATGGTTAGAGTGTTTTGATACAGAAAAAGTTGAGAATAAGCTGTTCTAGAAAAATTCTACCTGAAGCACAATCAATGCTTTCTTTTATATAACATAAAGGCCAACATTTTCAGGGGAGCTGAATTAAGGTTGGGAAGGGTACTACTCTTTCTAAACACCCCAGCATTTAGTAACTAAAAGGTTAAACCCAAAACAGTGGGTATCCAGGGTATGTTGGCAGGGAGCCAGAAGTGCCAATGGGAAGAAAATATAAGATTTGAATTGAAAGCAGTGATGTGCCTGTTGCAGTTCTTTGTGTAGTTTTGGGAGAGAAAAGCTGGGAAAGATGGAATGAATGTTGAAAGCTGGACATGGAATGTCCAGCAGCAATATTTATGTCTACAAAGGCTGGAACCTGGAAACAAGAAATGTGAGTACATAGGGAATGTGTAGCTACACACAGTCAGGTCATTTTAAAAAAAATCTTGGTTTTTTAACTCTGTGCTAAACCCATGTGCCTCCCCCCATACACTGTAACTGACTCTGAATCCTAGGGAAGCAATTCTTTGAATATTAACCTGTTTTCTCAGTTGCTCTGTAACACCTGGCAACCATGTATGCTCTACCATCATGTCTTCTTTTGTTTTGCTAATAAAATCACCTTTTTTAAGGCTGTGATCTGATTGTGTCCTACAAAACAGGAGGGTCTGTGTACATGTGCCTGAGACTGAGAGGTTAGCTATTAGAAATTACACTTTTTACTCTCTCTCAGGAGAGAGCTTGAAAACAGAGCTTAAGGCACCCCATGGGAAGAAGTTCCCAAGTGCATCTTCCTGGGTTCAGGAAAAGGGAGTTGGCATAACATCACCCAAGGTCAGGGAATCTGTGCCAGAGTGGGGAGCAGCCTTGATAGTAGTGTGATTAGCAAATACGAGTTCTAAGAAGATTAGTGGAGATTGATCACTTTTGAAGTTAACAAGAAACCATGATTCTATGTGCAGAAAAAGTGGTTCTGCAAGCTCTGTGAACATCTGCAGTGAAAAGAGAACATCAGTAATATGAGGCCTTAAGTTCCCCTTTCGTAGTGGCACAAAATGCTTTAGTGTTAGCTTTTGCTTTCTTTTCTTATAAGAGAAACAGAGATTTCCAAATTGTAATCTGGATCAGCAGTGATTCACTGAGAATTCGTTGGTCATATCTCTCTCTGCTCTAAGTTTTGAACCCCCCCCTGTAGTAGACAGTATAAGAATGTTTAAGTTATATTGATTGTCCTGAGGACTGAACACTCTATGCATGGAACAGGGTGAGCAGCAGCAGTGCATACATCTTTGGAGACTCTCAGCAGTCCAGTCTCCATGACCATTCTGTCTTCTCTATTAGGTAGTAGCAGCCATTGTTGTATTTTGAAATGTAAGTAGTTTTCTACAGTGTAATGAACTGAAATCCCTAGCACTTTCTGCATAGGCCTCTGGACAGATCAGTTGTGATGATTTTCATTAACTATTTTCCCAGTGTAAATTAGGACACGTGACAGAGGTCAAAGTCTTGCTATTCCACTTACTAATCTATTAACTGAGCCATCTGGACCCTCATGAGCAACCAATACTAGGGATATTAAATATCTATGAGTTGATAAGTGGGGCTCTTGCTAACTCGCTGTGCCTCTCCCTTTGGAATGTACAAGAGACGCCCTCAGCTCTTGTACATTTCAAAGGGAGAGGCGCAGCAGCAGGGATGCCTCTGCCTCCCCTGCCTCCTGCGGAGAGTACCCCCAGCACTGGCTCCTGCTCCCTCCCCTTTTTGCTGCCTCTCTTTGATAGAAGCTGCCAGAGAGGGGGAGGGGACTGAAGGAACTAATTGAAAGGGTACTTGATTATCTGATAAGCTTATGCTTATTGAATAGTCAACTAGTTGCTTACGTCCCTAACCAGTACTCCAGAAAATCCCAAGGAAGCTAGAATTCTTCAACATCATTGTCTAACATTATGGCCAAAATAACAACATTATTTAGCAGACTTTTTTTTTTAAATTGACAGACAATGGTATTGGGGAAAAAACAAATGCTATTTAATTCCAAAGCGCTTGTACGTTTAACCTGGCATTTGAATGAACAAATGTTTTTGTTCTGTTTCACATCTTGCTTTAAACTAGGGGGCTACGTCTACACTGGCCCCTTTTCCGAAAGGGGCATGCTAATTTTACAGGTCGTAATAGGGAAATCCGCGGGGGATTTAAATATCCCCCGCGGCATTTAAATAAAAATGTCCGCCGCTTTTTTCCGGCTTTTAGAAAAGCCGGAAAAGAGCGTCTACACTGGCCCCGATCCTCCGGAAAAAGCGCCCTTTTCCGGAGGCTCTTATTCCT